GTAATAACAAGCATCTTCAGTAGCTTATCAGCTTTCAAACAACCCCAAGAAAACTGCACTACAACGCTCGGTTCACCTTCTATGACAAAAGTCCGGTTTCTTTTGGGACAGCCCTCGTACAAGTCGCTTTTACAGCGCGCCCGGGCGCTCTGCGACACTTAATCGCCATTCTTGTCCATCGACCCGGAGGTCATCCGGTAAATTGCATATTGTAATTTTGTCTCGAATGCCACCTATCCACGATTTTGCTGGGCGTTCCCCGCGTTTCCTCCCAGGAGGCACTCAATCTAGCACCCTCCTAGGCATCCTATCATCCACCATTCGTTGAACATGACCATACCGGACAAGCTGTTTGGTCATAATTTCATGCAAGAAAGCAGTTTTTGAAGCGGAAATCATAAAAAACGCATATTTTTTACGCAGATTGTGAAGTTATGAGGGTATTTCAGACTTTCCCGATGCGCTCATCGCGAGTTCTTTTCTATGAGAAACAACTCTTTACGGAGAAAAAAACTTCGTGCGTGGTACTCGAAGTTGAGGTCATACGGATCTCTGAAGTTTTCGGATCACGTATCCGAAAACTCGCGATGCAGCTGCCGAAGTTCGGGTCAGACATCGAGGCACTTCGGTATGTACCAGAGTACTTCAGATGTGACCCGAACCCGTTGGTATACATCGGAGTACTTCAGATGTCTGACCCGAACTTCGGCAGCTGGACCTCAAGGTTTTAGATACGTGATCCGAAAACTCCCGAGATCCATACGACCTCAACTTCGCGTCCCACGCACGAAGTTTTTCTCTCCGTGTTCTTTTTGCTCCAGTTGAAGTTTGCGACGAGCCCATTTTAAGCGCTCAGCCGATAGGCAGCGCTTTTTGATTTCGACTTGCCTCTGAGTACTAGTACGTATACTAGTGCTAATTCGTTTTAAATGACGCACCATCGCTCATCGATGTGTAGGCTTTTGGGGGGGGGGGGGNNNNGGGGGGGGTCCATTTTTAAAATAAATAAAGCTGTGAAAACTGTATTTTATGCTTTTAACGTGATGCGCGGGTAGTTTCGATCGTTTGTCTATAAGAAAATTTCTCAGCGGTAGAGTAATTCTTATCGAAATTGATCGTTGAACTCAAATGAAGCCTAAAAAAAAACGCGCCTGATGAGCTCAACGGTGAGCTCATTTTCGGAAAACAAAAATACGCGTTTACGGTTTCCTTGGTAACCTTTGTTTGCCATCAGCTGATGTTTTATTTCCATTTCCCAGCCAAGTCGACGGAGTTTATACGTCCTTTCTTCACTAAATACATTTACTAACACCTGAGCGCTTTTCTAATACGACAGTATTAGAACTTTCCCGCTTGTTTCTCTTCGCAGGATGGGGAGAATGCGAGTGCGAGCTTGTGAAAAGTTTCTCGGTGTGTTTTGTTGCAGATCCGATCGCCGACGGACGAGACGCAGTGCATGACGTGTCCGGAGGGTCACAAGCCGGACGCGCGGCGGGAGAGCTGCCTGGAGATCCCGGCGGTGTACCTGACGCCGAGCAACGGGTGGGCCATCGGGGCCATGTCCTTCTCCGCCTTCGGCATCCTCTTCACCCTCTTCAACTTCTACGTCTTCCTCCGCTACAACGACACGCCCGTCGTCAAGGCGGCCGGCCGCGAGCTCAGCTACGTCCTCCTCACCGGCATCCTCCTCTGCTACTCCATCACCTTCCTCCTCATCATCAAACCCACCGACCTCGTCTGCTCCATTCAGAGGTAACTCCAACATTCCAAACACCCAATAGCACCGGTAGAGTAGAGTACCTTAAGGTGAATCCAGGCTTGGAACTTCGCGATGTGGCCACCACGTCGCGCTGCTCAGAATAGCCGTATATATTTGCCAAAATAATAAAAACCGTAATAATTATTTAAGATTGGAGATCCAGGGGATATAGCAACATACTTGAGGAACACTCAGTAAAAAAAATCTTCTCAAAATTCCGAAAAATAAAGTCTTAACTACGGCGGAAAGTAATTCCCATTGCGGCAATGGGAGAGAGAGAGACAGAACATGAGGGAACATCATCCGTTGCGCGCTCGGCCGCCGCCGCTGAGCTGAAAGTTTCAGCCGTACTTTCTCTGCGCTCGTAATTCTAATTGCCAATATTTTTGGCTCAAAAAATCAAGCAAAAAAATATCTATATCTTGTGGATCTGCTTTTTGTAATTCGAGGAATATTATTTCAGTAATCGTCGAAGGAAAGTGAAATTCTCAGTGGTGACTGGTGGCGCTATCTCTAATCTTGAATTATCCCTAATCGAACCCTGGATTCACCTTAAGGTTAATCTTCAGCTGTGGTTCCGAAAAAATCCTCCACGTCGCGCTGCTAAAATCCGACTCCGAAATCAGTGATTATTTAAATATCACAATAGATATCTTAAATTCTAAGAATCATAAGTTCTAGCAGCATACGTCTGGAATCCTCAGAATTAAACGCGAGCTTTGAAAATTTAATAAGAAAAGCTATAACTTGATCCCAGTTTCTATTACGGGATATCTGTAAGTGCGAGAGAGACAGCTCGCGGTGGGAGAGAGATATCTGCAACTGCTGAAAGCGATCAATCGCGATTGGTTGCATGAAGGTCATCATGCTGAACCCTACTTTTTTCTGGGATCAAGTTTCAGAGCTTCAGAAATTACTTTTCATGTCGTTTTTAGTGTCAATAGGAAGAAGGTCATGGCTAGAGCTTATGACTCTTCGATTTAAAGGGAAATTCCTTTAACTTTCATAAAAGCGCAAGGACTCACGTGAAGCTGTACGGACTTCAAAAACGTGGACCAAAAAATCAAAACACAGCGGTGGCGCCCCCTGCGCGGAGAAATTTCTTACTTCACGGAGCTGTAGATAAACCTTAATGGGAAGGGAGGATAAGGAATTGCTGGTAATTTTGAGGGTTAGGTCATGGAGCTCTTACGGTCCGAAAGGACAGCAAACCTATGAGCTCATATTATCTAGAATGATTTATTATCACAATGGACCACTAGACAAGGTACGAATTTAAGCATTCCAATACATGTTACCTGACCAGAATTTCACGTAAAACACGATTCTTACGACGAAAATTACTGAAATCAACTTATAACGAAGATATTAACGTTTTTATTTCACATTGGTTACGAGGAATTTGAACTGCCCGCTTACAAGAAACTCAAAGCTCTACGTGAGTCAAATCGCGCACTACAACGGTTTCAGTAAGCTTCTCAATCGAGCAATGTTCATTTCCCACCGTGTGTTGTTCAAACTATGAACAACTTGCTATAGCTGAGCCAAAGCGTCAAGATTGAGGTTGCCAGATTTTTATGTCGCAGAGGCTGTCATGATAACGTTTAGCGCGCGATGTGAGTCACGTAGAGCATTGAGTTTTCATGAGCGGGAGGTTTGAATTCGTGCATCAAGAATCATTAAAAATCCTCGTAAGGAGTTGATTTCAGTAATTTTTGTTGTGCGTATCGTGTTCTACGTGAAATTTTGGTTAAGAAACATGTATCAGAATGCTAAAATTCGTACCTTGTCTAGTGGTCCATTGTTACGACCCAAGGTAGGCCCTTGCCGACTCTTTCGGTTTCCGCCGTTAGATCTGTGATCAATGTGTAGATCGATTTCGCTAAAAATTGGTATTTAAAAGAAAGACAACGTCTGACATTCCATATGTCGCTCTTCCCTAGCACGGTAGGAAAGGTCCCGGGTTTGTATCCCGGTTGTATCGACGAATTTTGGCGGAGCTGATGACGGGCGGATCAGCTATAACAAACTCCACTCGGTCCCAATCCTTGAAAATTTGAAAGATCTTGAGCATGGATATGTCTGTAAAGCTGACGTCTGCGGACACTAAATTACTTTTGTGCATGATTTGAGGCTCCTATCAGGGGCAAAAAGTCCGTCAGAGATACAATTTTATAGAGTGAAATGCCGAAAAATGTACGTAGTTGATCTCTTTTTTACGCATTTTCCGGAAACTAATTAGAACAAAACTGTGCCTAACACTCGCACCTTTGGATTGAGCGTTTAAAATTACCCTTGGACAGGGCCGGATTTACCTACTTGTCGCCCCCTTTTGATTCGTTTTGAAACATCGATACAAACCATAAAGTGAACGTGCCGGAGGAGGAAGGGTGCATAAGACGCGTTTACTCGTGTTTGGCACATTTTTTTGTGAATGCCATGTCAACACTAGCAAAAGTTCACGGAACTTTGCGCGAAAGTTAAGTCCCTTAAACCTATCTCTGTGTGGACAAGGCCTTTCACTTATAAGAAATGAACGAAAAAATAATGAAAGAATAAACATGAATGTGGTTTAGGTCATAATTTTAATTTCCGCCACCACGCCAACCGCATTGTGTTTGGCGCAATGCGTGATGTATCCTTCCAGTCTTGTAGGCACTACGAGTTTCTCGCTAACCGCTGCTGACCGCACTACGTTTGACGCAATGCGTGAAGTATTCGAGGAGTCTTGTAGGCGCTAATATTTGTTCCATGCTGACTGGCGAGCCGAGGGCTTCTCCTTTTCATCTCAAGTCCTCGTCATCATTGCTCTCGGCGCCGCGCCGCTCCAGGCCGAA